GGCAGACCTTGCTTGGCTGCTGCACGCCAACAATGATGGAGAAAGAAGAGGCTGCAGCCCCATGTAGTTCGCAGATCAGCCGACCTGCAGACAGCAGGACCCCAAAAGAGCAGGACCACAGTGGGACTGATGGCACCAACACCCCTGAATATCTGGCAAATCCAGCCCTGAGGTTCCCTAGCCCCAGAGCACAAATGCTGATGTGGAGGAGGTCCCCAAAACAAGCCATCTCTCCTCCCCTGGCCTTCCCTGCAGTAAGTGGGTCAGTGGAGCATTTCTCCTTTTTCTCTCTCGTTTCTCACATCGGAGGCATCTCTGAATGATTCAGGCAGCAGGAGCACAACAGCCATGCTCCTGACACAGGGTGCTCAGGGGTCTGTGCCTGCAGGAACTGGGGGGGACAAGCATTCAGGGATCTCACTGGCCAGAGGACGCTCCCTGCAGCTGCCGGCTTTGCACGGCTATTGCTAAATGGTCTTTGCTCCTCAAGTGTCAGAGCAGCCTGGGGAAAACAAGAGCAGCCTCCATGCACACATGTCCTTCATAAGTCACCTAATTATCCTGGCTGATTAAATGAAGCTCACAGCAATTGCTCTCTCCTGGGCTTGCTTTGAGGGTTGCTGCTGCTGAGTCAGCCTGGAGATGGGGTTATGTTCCCATGAGGTGTCTGGTTTTTTTGTGTCTGTTGCGTGCTGTGCTTAGCTCATCTCTTGAGACACCCTGGCTGCTGCAAAAACTCCTGGAATAAGCCCCCAGGGCTGCTCATATTCAGCAAAGCTTCCCCTCAACCGTGCAAGAAGTGGCTCTCCTCCACAGATGCTGTGCTTGGGGCCATGGGGAAGGGACATGGTCATGTTCTGCCTTACCCCTCTTCCCTGGTGCTCAGTGCTGCTCAACCCTGGCAACCTCACACTGACAGAGCTCCTGGTCAGCCAGAAAAGGGTCTAAATCTAACAACAGGAATTTAACAGCGCTCCACAGGAATGGCTGTTCAAGAGAAGCACTGTCTCGGAAAACTCCTCTCTTCATCATTGCCAAGAATAAAGGAGACCTGGATGCAGGGAGATGTAGCAAGCTCCTGTGCAGCCTGAAGACGTCAACCCAGCTGCCCCCCAGCCCTGAGCTGTGCCTGTTGTTGGGGCAGACCCCTGAGCCTGGGGATGCCACTGCCACTAGCGTCCATGAGTGTCCATGCACTGCGCTCACATTGTCCCCACATGCCCAGCCCAGGCCTTGGGGCTGGCAGGGGTGCCTGCTGGCCAGGTAGCAACAGGAGAGGCTGCAGACTCATGAGATGGGGGGATTGTCAGGGAAGATCAACTAGGATCCTGGCCAAAGGGGCAGAAAACAGGCAAGAGTTGAATAAGGAGATTATGGCACATCCAGGAATTGTTATTCACCTTGGACAGCTGGGCAAACTGCTGCAGGGAGCAGCAGGACTTGCCCACAGTCACCTGCAAGGCAGCAGCAAGTCAGAAAGAGAGCGCCTGTATCACCTGAGCAGCTGCTCAGTATCATTTGCTGTGCTCCAGGCTGGCTGCATCCATTCACTGTCCAAAATCAGTGCTTCTCGGCAGGAGGGATGGCTCGAGGGGTGGTTGGGGGCTCACTGCCGCTCTCAGCACAGCGCTGTGCCTGGTGCCAGGCTGCTCAGCCTGCCCTCCTGCCCTAAACCTGGCTGGCAGAAATCCCAGCTGCTGGCAGGAGAGAGCAGAAAGCCCCTTCCTTTGCGGCATGGAAGTGGGGGAGGCTGGGGGAGAGCTGGCCTACGCTAAAAAGTCCCCATGGCAGCTGGGAGGGGAGTGAAGAAGAAAGGCTGTTGCTCCCATCCATAGACACTGAGTGGCATGACAGGCTGGAGCCTCAGTTTGTTTCATTTCCAGAAAATGAGAAAAGAGAGAGAGACAGCAGCAGTGAGAGAAACCCCACTGAAAATCCCCGTGCTCTTGTTTTGACAGGGCTGAGCTGCAAATTTCCTTTCTGCAAGCTGCAGCGTGCCCCCAGCCAGCCGCCAAGCTGGGGCTGTCCCGATGCAGCTGCGTGACGCCAGCACGGATGTCCCAGCTGGGGGAAGGGGAATTCAGACATTGCTTCTCACCATACTAAAAGCAGCGACAAGGTGGCCTCCTCGGCAAAGCGCCATGCAGCCGGGGCCACAAGGCCAGCAGCATTGGGGCCACATCATGCAGAGCCACCGGAGTAGCAGCTTGAGAGCCCCAGGACACTGCAGCCCTCCAGGTCCCTGCACACCAGGGACATGTTTCCTATCGACGGGGGACCCTGGCATCTGGCGGAGATGGCCAGGTATGGTGCCTCACTGAGGTGCCTGGGGGGGCACCATGGGTCCATTTACAGAGCATTTTGGGGGGCTCTGCAAGTGGGGGACATGGTTTTGCTGACCGTGTTATTGCCTGGTACTGCTTGCCCTGACTGTGCACAGCCACTGGAAGCCTGCATGGGCTGGTGAGCTGTGGGTTAGCCCAGCCACACAGGCTGGGAGGTGGTGGTAGTGCCAGGAGGGAGGGAAAGCCCTGGAGACAGGGAACAGCTTTTTGTGCCTGTGTCTTCTGAGCTGACCAGGGCTGCTCGCCAGGAAGGTGCCTTGCAGGGAGCTCCAATAGCTGCAGGGTACTGAGGTGCTAGTGCTGGACTCTGCTGCTGCACCCACTGGCCCCTGTGCCACCCTCTGTACCAAGCTGGGCCTGAGCCCGCTACACAGGAGCCCCCAACCCTGCAGCCTCTCCAGCCTCCCTGTCAGCCCAGCTCCTTCCCCACCGTGGGAGGAAGCCGAGCGCCTGCCCTGGGTGATGGTGCAGGTGAGCTGGGAAAGATAGGTCCACGCTGCAGATGCTCAGGCTAGTGGGTGCCCCTGGGACCAAGTGTGTGTGGGATCCCCCAGGTGGCACCGGGGAGGAGGCACAAGAGGAACCCTGGCTGGTCCCAGGGCATGGGGGCAGCTGTTTGCCTGCAGGGAGACAAAACCAGGGACTTGCTGCACGGGGATGGGAGCCCACCACCTACTGGACATGCAGGAGACACAAGTGCCACCTGACACCGGTGTTCAGATGGGATTTCCAAGATGAAACACTGCTGCCAGGCGCCCACTTGGCCCCAGCAATCCCTCCACATAGGCCATGCCCTCCCTGGTCACATCTTCTCCCAGGGGAAGCTGCTCTGCTTGCTGCCAGCCCTGCCTAGAGCCAAACAGAGACCCAGCAAAGAAATGGTGCTCTTGGCTGCTCAGTAGTCGGTGTAGGATCTGTCTGACAGTCTCGCTAACAGCTACATCTGATTACTGGGTCACCAAAGGGTGACCACGCTGCACCTGCAGGAGCTGCCCTCTGATCTGCTGGGGACAGGACGACTGGGGCTGCCTGGGAGTATGGTGGGGGCAGAGGGGAGCCCTGATCCTGAGTAGTGCCATGGGGCTTTGGCTGCCCAGGAGAGCAAATGCAGGAGCTTTCCAGTTGCCAGAAAGTAAATAAACCCTTGTGGAGTGCAGTCTCCTTCTTCGGGTGGTTATGAGGGCAAAAGCCATTTGGACCATCCTATCTACAGGGTCCCTGGAGCTCAAGGGCTGGGCACTGGGCTGGACACCTGGATTCTCTCCTCCTGCACCCCCACAGCACCCATCAGTCCAGCTGTGGCTTGCCTGGCCCTTGGCACCTCAGATGGCTGAGTCCCAAGGCCCAAACCTGCTGTGGGTAGCAGCCACCAGCCCCCACAGGACGACTGTGTGCAAGACATCACGCCTCGGTCCCCATGGAAGTGTCCTGCCACTTTGGTTTGGGCGTGGATACAGTGCTCCAGCTGGTTCCCCCTAATCAGGGCAGTGCAGGAAACACTTGCGATGCTGCTGTGGCTCCTGACATGTACCCGCCTGCTTGCGAGGGGGAAGGAGGCGCTCTGCTATTTGCTGTGGGGTGTCCCGGCCACCATGGCAGACTGCTGCTCTTGGTTCCCAGAATGTTGTCTGTTCTCCCACCCAGTCTGCACCACCTGTGCTCCTGCTCCCACTCAAGCACTGGTTTCCGTTAACCCCACAGGAGGGTCAAATCCGCTCCTCCTTCACTTACAATCTCTCCAGGAGGATCTCTTCTTTTTGCCTGTTGTGTCTCAGGTTTTCCAGCTTTGCTACTTCCTGGGCAGCCGCATCCCCAGGTGGGAAGTAGGTGGCTTTTGTTCTGCAGGAGTGCAAGTGAGTAATGGCTCAGAAATTGGAGGGATCATTGTTTCAGGGGAGACAGTAAAATGTGTTCCTGCCAGGCAGCATGCCTGGGCTGCCCAAATGGGCTCGGGGTCAGGCAGGGGCACATCAGGGCAGAGCTGGGTATGCATGCTGCACACAGTGCAAGCAGACCCTCCATACCACTTCCAACATGCCTGAGACCCCGGCTCCACCACACACCTGCACCGCTCCTCTGTGACCCAACATGAGAAAAGAAGTCCTGGCCCATGTGCCAGGGTGCTGAGCTGCCCACGAAGGCTGTGTTTGTTTTAAGCAAATGGCAAAAGGCACTGCTTCTGTGGAGTGACAGCTTGCAGCTGAGCAAGAGCCTCCCATGTCAGAGGGAGCAAACTGCCATGGGCCTTAGGAAGCTTTTAAGACACCCTTGGAGCCCCCTTTGTCCCACCCCTGGATGCCGCAGGCCCCCTCGTGCTGCACTGATACTCTGTACCTGAGCCAGTCCTCCTGGAAGACCCCACAGCAGAGCCACCCACGGCACCAGGGACACAGGGCCTGACCAGATGATGCTATTGCAGTAGCAGAGGGCACAATCTTTTAAAGGGACACACTGATGGACACCAGTGGGCGCACAGTCGAGGCCAACGCGTGCCCACATGCATGGCCGCAGCCGCTCTACACCCACACGCGTGCCCGAGCTCACCCCACGCGCGCCGCCGCTACGTGCTCGCCCCCCTGCCAGTGCGTTCCTCCTCCCAATGACGCGCCGGGGGCGTGGCGGGGCGCGGCCACGTGAGGGGGCGGTCGCGCGCCTGCGCAGCCTGGTCACGTGCCCGCGGCGGCGGCGAAGGGAGCCCAGTGGTGCCATGGCGGTGCCGGGCGGAGGTGGGCCGGGATGGGATGGGATGGGAGGGGAGGGATGGCGGCATCGTCCCCGGCTCCCCCAGCGCGGCCCCTCCGGCAGAGAGCAGAACCCGTGCCCTGCGCGGCACCGTTTCCATTGGTAACGCGCGGCGACCGGTACTGGGGCCTGGCACCGCCTGAGGGCCCGAACCGCCGCAGGACGCTCTGGAGGCGGCTCCCGGAACAGGGCTTCTCAGCCCGCGCCCCGGCATCAGGGGCATGACCTGCGGGAACACCGAGGAGTGTGAGGAGTCCCGGGGACAGAGTCCGAGTGGGTCTCAGGGGCTCTGGGGGGTGGTCTGAGACCCTCGACGTAGGGCGTGGGGCCTGGGGGTTCCCAAAGGCCCGGGGAGAGTGCCAAGATCCATAGGCTGTGTGACTGGGTGGAGATTCGGTGTCCCTGGGGAGGCCCTGGGCAGCTGGCAGGGGGCTGTGGGACAGCAGTTCTGGCACTGAGCCTCTCCAGGTGCCTGCAGGTGTGAAGGAGGACTCATTCAACGTGCTGGACCTGGCGGAGTACACCAAGAATCGGCCGTGGTGGCGCAAGGTCTTTGCCCCCAGCTCGGGGTCAAGCGCGGAGAAATACAATGTGGCCACACAGCTGGTGATTGGAGGGGTCACGGGATGGTAAGATGTGCTGGGGTTGCTATTGCTGCTTGTGGCAGGCAGGATGCCTGTGGGCATTAACCATGCTTTTGGGAACACACTGACAGGTGCAGGGTGGTCAGCTGGCAGTCTTTCAGAGAAGGCAGGTGTCCAGCTTGCTCAGCCAACTGTGCCCTGGCATGCTCTGCTGAACTGTGGGAGGTCTTAAAAGCTGTCTCTGCTGTGGAGCTGAAGAACTGAGACTGTCTCGTAGGGAAGAAAATGGCATCAGGCTTTAATTTTTGAGATGAGATAATTCTCCTTTAACTTCTGGTATAAAGTGGTAGTTTTGAATTTAGGACAGGCAAATATGAGCCTCTTGGAACAAGGATACCGTCTTCCCTGGAGGTGGATGTGCTTCAGGCATCTGCACAAAAATCTCCTGTGGATGTGGCTTATTGGGCCTGTGGGCATGGTTCCTGGGGTTTTGTGTTGCTTGTAGCAAGTGCTGGTGGCTTTTGGCTCTATTTGCAACTTCATTTGTGCAGCAGTGTTGTTTGAGTTGAAAGCTTGGTGTAATCACACTGCTTTGCTTCTTGCTGTGCCTGTGTTCTTCATCTGGCACAGGGGTAACCATTTAAAAGTGTAAGACAGATCACCATTTTCTGATAAAAATAGGAGCTGGCTACCTCTCTCTTGTATCTTCACTAAGTGTGTGTATTCAGAAATGGGTAGGAGCACGTTGCTGTGTTGTTTTGCAATGCTGATAAGGAAACTGTTCAAAGTAAAGTCTGGTTTGGGTGATAACAATACGCTAGCTCTTTGCTGCATGATTGAGCAATGGGGTGGCGCTTGCTTGAGTTCTGGTGGCTGCAGTGATGTCTTTCATGTCAGAGAGCATGTAACCCAGTTTGGACACCACTTTAGGCCACTGCTGTCTGCTTGTTTCAGCATTTTTCTCTTCTGAGAAATGAAAAGTAAGCAATTGTTTGGGCAACAAAGAAGCTTGCTTTGTGATCTGCTCCCCATGCTCTATCATGGAGCAGCAGCAGATGTGCTGCCTAATTTCCCTTCAGAGATGATACCAGCTCAAAAAAAAAAAAAGCTAAAATCACTTGTTGATTTGGGTGAGATCACGTGTTTCCCATTACTCCTTTGGGAGAACGTTGATGTTGAAGAGGTAAGAATCAAAACTGCAAAAGGCAGTGATAGTGAGAAGTAAAAAGCTATAAAGCATCAGTTTTGGCTGGGCACAAACCTTTTCTCTTTCTGGTTGCACGTGGGTTTCTTCTGCCATTCGTCAGGCTGTCTCTGAGTTGTGGGTAATTACTGCCAAGGCTGCCTTGCCTGTGGGAAGCATGCTGAGGAGTGTGTGCTTGGTATCTCATTCACCTGACTGGATCCTGGTTGATTTGTAGGTGTACTGGATTCGTCTTCCAGAAAGTTGGAAAGCTGGCAGCGACAGCGGTGGGAGGTGGCTTTTTCCTACTTCAGGTGTGTATGAATAGTGGGCCAGGCTTTCCAAGAACTGTGCTGGCAGGGACAAAGGGCTGTCTAGTGATCATTATTTGTTGGGACATGTGGGGCCAGTTCGCTGCTCTGCCAGGAGCTCTGTGTGGCCATGGATGTCAAGGGTGTGTGTTCCCTGGGGTACGTAGATGCAGCAGCAAAGCAGGATCAGTGTGTGTAAAATTAAGGATTGCCAAAAGGTGCTATCCATTTAGGGTCTGCTAACAAAGGCCAGGCCAAAGACATGTGGGGGCTGTTATCGCAGGGGCACCTGGGTGAAGCAGGAGGCAGCCTTCAGCTGTGGCAAAGCACGCTGCTGCTGCTGCAGGACTGTCTGGTCAGAACTGGCTACTGTACTTAATCCTGTGCCTGTGGAGATGCTGTTCCTGGAAGAACAGCCCTGGCTGTCAAGAGGGATTTGTCTGTGTCTGTGATATGGTTCTGGTCAACCTGGCTACTTGAGGAGTCAGGCCAGCACAGATGGGGCTCTCTGTAAAGCATTGGGGAAGAGAAGAGAAACAGAGATCTCTCTCTGTCCTCAAGCATTTCTCCTGGTTTCCGAGATCCCTAGCACTGAGGGGAGCTGCTCAAATGTGGATTTCTAGCTTGTATGTCCTGCATGAGGCAGAATGGCTCTCAGGCCTTGCTCAGCAGTCTTATTTGTTTGCTTCTCAGGTGCTGTCTCATGTGTGACTCGTTGTCCCTGGTCTTCTGGCTCTGCTTGTTATGAAAGCCAAAAGCTTGCTCTGAGCAGGGAGAGTTTCACTGCTGAATCATCCTGACCAGATAAAATACTTAGAGAGGAACAGGCTATTAATAGCTGTGTCCACCCACAGCAGCAGGAGAGCTGCAGAGTCCCAATGATACATGTGGCAGTTGTGAGGGGGAGGTGATGCCAGCTTTACATTAGAGAATAGAGGCTGAAATAGGCTAAGCTGCAATGTGTGCCCTGCTGTTAGGGGATTACTGTGGGATACAGATGTTGTGGGACAGTTAATACAGCTGCAGGGGTGGTCCTTTGTCCAATTTTTAAGCTAGTGTGCTCATCCTCTCAGCCCACTGGACCAGTGTGTGGGAGGTGGCTATGGTCAGGGAAAGTGGGTGGGCAAGGGGGTCTGTTTAGCCGTGGTCGTGTAGGACTTTACTCCAGGAACTTTCTTTCCACTCCTCAAAACTCTAGATTGCAAACCACACAGGATACATTAAAGTGGACTGGAAGCTGGTAGAACGGGACGTGAACAAAGCCAAGCAGCAGCTGAAATTTCACAGCAGTGGTAACAAAATGTCTCCAGAAGTGAAAAGCAGAGTGGATGAGGTGAGACAACTTTCCCAGGGTGTGTGCAGGTGCTTAGGTGGAGGGACAGCAGAAAACAGGATTGACTCCTGGGCTCTTATGGATCTTCCATTGTGCAAATACAAGGAGAGAATGCTTCCATTCCATGACAGCAAAACTGGAGAGATGGCAAAGGCTGTGGATGTTGTCTACCTAGACTTTAGTAAAGCATTTGACACCATTTCCCACAGCATTTTCCTGGAGAAACTGGTTCCATACCCTTCACTGGGTAAAAAACTGGCTGGATGGCTGGGCCCAAAGAGTTGTGGTGAATGGAGTTAAATCCAGTTGTTGGCCAGTCACAAGTGGTGTTCCCCAGGGCTCACTATTGGGGCCAGTTCTATTTAATATCTTTATCAATGATCTGGACAAGGAGATCAAGTGCACCTTCAGTGAGTTTGCAGGCAACACCAAGTTGGGTGCGAGTGTTGATCTGCTTGAGGATAGGAAAGCTCTACAGAGGGATCTGGACAGGCTGGATTGATGGGCCAAGGCCAGTTGTATGAGGTTCAACAAGGGTCACAACAACCCCATGGAACGCTACAGGCTTGGGGAAGAGTGGCTGGAAAGCTGCCTGGTGGAAAAGGACCTGGGGGTGTTGGTCAACAGCCGGCTGGCTGAATATGAGCTGGCAGTGTGCCTAGATGGCCAAGAAGGCCAATAGCATCCTGGCTTGTATCAGAAATAATGTGGCCAGCAGAACTAGGTAAGTGACTGTCCCTCTGTACTCAGCACTGGTGAGGCTGCACTTTGAATACTGTGTTCAGTTTTGGGCCCCTCACTACAAGACATTGAGGTGCTGGAGCATGTCCAAAGAAGAGCAAGGAAGCTGGTAAAGGGTTTAGAGCACAAGTGTAATGAGGAATGGCTGAGGGAACTGGGGTTGTTTAGTCTGGAGAAAAGGAGGCTGAGGGGGGACTGTATCGCTCTCTACAACTACCTGAAAGGAGGTTGTAGCGAGGTGGATGTTGGACTCTTCCTGAGTAGCAAGCAATAGGACAAGAGGAAATGGCCTCAAGTT